CGGAAAAATTTAAAAAACACACTGAGTATATTTAAAATCGATGTTTTTATCTTACATGACACAACGATAATATGAGTTAGCAGTGCTTAGAGTCGAGGTTTACTTGGCGTATACTTCATGTCAGAACCCGAAATTGAATAAAAAAATTTATTTTAATTTTCACTTTTTGAATATTCATACGGTCGGCGGATCTGTAAACCAATGAATAAAAAAGTCTCACATTAATAAAATTATCGTGTTACAATGACAACTACTTTAAGCAAGTCTTTGTCAGCAAGGCGAGGGTTGCTGTATGCCGCATGTATTTTCTAGTATGTATTTATTTGTCGCTATAAAACAAACGTTTGTATGAATGTATTTAGTTTTTAGTCTATATCACACAGCCTTCTTCTATCTTAGTGAAAAACATTCAACCCTGTCACGCCATGTCATGCGAGATTTGTACGGAATGTTTTGAAAGACTCGTAATCAACATTTTAAGGGTTGTAAAGTGCTGTGTGTCGTATCTTTTATCGACATTTTGATACCATTGATAAAGGGTTAAATTTGTTATTGATGCAATCGAAATCATAGTTTGGATGGAAGAATAACGAGGCCGAAATGTAGGTCCACTGCTGTTTTCATTTTCTTGTGAAATTTCAGTGCTAGGCATTTGACACTTACCAATAACCACCCCTAAAAGCACCATCTCTGAACCATATAAGCACCTCAGAATAGCCAAAGCTTTATGGTTTGGTAGATAACACGATGGCGAAAGCGTCGTTTTTGGGTGTGGTCAGTTTCGGACTGTTCGTCCCGGATTGGGGTTCGGGTAGCGCAGGGCGCTGTAAAACACGGGCGGTGAAACGGCTATGGCGCCCCTGATCTATGTGTGATGCAGGACCCCCCGCATATTTTCATTTTTATTCGAATTCGATGTGGTTTGATCAGGCATGCATGTTTGTTTTGACTTCTTGTTAAAATTACTACGTAAAAAGGTACAATTCAAGCTGAATTCACAATGGTTTGGGATCTGTGCTATTACTATAGACAAAATCTTTTTTCCGGATTCTTAATCACGGCTGATTATATGGGGAATGTTGTAGTGTAAGATATATTAAAGTCTGGGATCTCACTCACGAGGATCGATTGTTTTTGCAAAACAACTTCGTTCGTTTATAAGATGAAAAAAAAGACGAAGAAAAAGTTTTTTAAACGGCTGTTGTTGTAAAACCTGCAACTGGAATGTGTGTTTGGAAATCAGGTATGTTCAATCACATGTATTTTTGTCAAGTTCCACCAGATGAAGCGCCATAAATTGATAAAAACAGCAAGTTCTTTTTTTCAAGCGAAGTTTGTTGTCGCAGTTTTACAAGCGCGGAAAATTTTTAACTTTTAAATATTTCATGCACAACATATGAAAACTAGTTTTATTTTGATGTTTTTCTATAACTTAAGTACCTAGTTTTCTGAAAATCACCAAATGAGAATGGGCTTTTTAAATTTTTAAACATTTTTTTGGCCTTGTTTTTGACATGTGCATGCCAAATCTACACATGAAATACAAGCAAGCGATAGTTTGTTGTCGCAGTTTTACAAGCGCGGAAAATTTTTAACTTTTAATTATTTCATGCACAATATATGAAACCTATTTTGATGTTTTTGTATAATTTAAGCACGGGCAATAGGACAGGTGTAGTGTTGTTAAATATAAAGTTAGAAATGGTATTATACTTACTCATGCATTATAATTTGTTTAAAAGATCAGAATATTCATACCTTCTTATTTTGTTTCATAAATAGTTCTTTAATATTCGAAACAAATTCCATATCTGCTTCGTCTGCCATCGCCATGTTTACTCGTCCCAATCTACATGCTGCACGGCATTGCCGCCCCTCCTGGCAAAATAATAAGCAAGCGAGAAAAATTGCCGTGCAGCATGTAGATTGGGACGAGTAAACATGGCGATGGCAGACGAAGCAGATATGGAATTTGTTTCGAATATTAAAGAACTATTTATGAAACAAAATAAGAAGGTATGAATATTCTGATCTTTTAAACATAATTATAATTAACAACACTACACCTGTCCTATTGCCCGTGATTTAAGTACGTAATTTTCTGAAAATCACCAAATGAAAATGGGCTTTTTTAATTTTTAAACATTTTTTTGGCCTTGTTTTTGACATGTGCATGCCAAATCTACACATGAAATACAAGCAAGCGATAGTTTGTTGTCGCAGTTTTACAAGCGCGGGAAATTTTTAACTTTTAAATATTTCACGCACAATATATGAAAACTAGTTTTATTTTGATGTTTTTGTATAATTTAAGTACCTAGTTTTCTGAAAATCACCAAATGAGAATGGGCTTTTTTAATTTTTAAACATTTTTTTGGCCTTATTTTTGACATGTGCATGCCAAATCTACAGATGAAATACAAGCAAGCGATAGTTTGTTGTCGCAGTTTTACAAGCGCGGAAAATTTTTAACTTTTAAATATTTCATGCACAATATATGAAACCTATTTTTATTTTGATGTTTTTGTATAATTTAAGTATGTAATTTTCTGAAAATCACCAATTGAAAATGGGCTTTTTTAATTTTTAAACATTTTTGCCCTGATTCAGTTTGACATGTCCATGCCGAAATATACACATGGAATAGCATTGCCTTCGACTTTGCGTTTTTGAAATCTGACACCCTATGAAAAAAGCTGGAATAAAAGTATGTTTAAACAAAAAAGCCCATTCTCATTTGATGATTTTCAGAAAATTAGGTACTTAAATTATCCAAAACATCTAAATAAAAATAGGTTTCATATATTATGCATGAAATATTTAAAAGTTAAAAATTTTCCGCGCTTGTAAAACTGCGACAACAAACTACATCGCTTGCTTGCATTCGATATGGCATTGTGTAGACTTGGCATGCACATGTCAAAAATAAGCCAAAAAAGTGTTTAAAAATTAAAAAAGCCCATTACCATTTGATGATTTTCAGAAAATTACGTACTTAAATTATCCAAAAACATCAAAATAAAGCTAGTTTTCATATATTGTGCATGAAATATTTAAAAGTTAAAAAGTTTCCGCGCTTGTATTAAAAACTGCGACAACAAACTACATCGCTTGCATGCATTCGATATGGCATTGTGTAGACTTGGCATGCACATGTCAAAAATAAGCCAAAAAAATGTTTAAAAATTAAAAAAGCCCATTATCATTTGGTGATTTTTAGAAAATTAGGTACTTAAATTATCCAAAAACATCAGAATAAAGCTAGTTTTCATATACTGTGCATGAAATATTTAAAGTAAAACTGCGACATCGCTGTGAACATGCAATTTGGAGTCTTTTGGCGGACATTTCAGTTGCATATTGTAAGTTCGAAAAGAGAAATAAAACAACCTTTAACATGGTAAAAACGGAATTTTCTGCTTGTTCCTTATAATTGAATATTTTCCCTAACTTTTATATTTGAGTTGAATGCCTGAATATGTTAATGAAAATGTTTCCAATGCTTTCTAAATTGACAATTGTTTTCTAACTTTATCAAAACAAGGTAACAAGTTGTGTCATTGTAAATTATGCAAGTGACCTGGTCATAAATCTTTAAATTGAAAAAAAAGCCCACAAAACCCCATTTTCTAACCTTTTCAGATCGAAAGTATAACTAATTATAGATTATTTAAAGGGTTGAAGTTAACTTTTTTTCCACTCGGTCTGGCTAAAAAACTCGACTACAATTTGTCATTGCCTGAAAAATGTAAATATATTTTATGATAAAATCGCTATGCCTTCAAATAATTTCACATTTTAAAAATGCTTTTCCAACTCCAGCGATGTAATTTGCAATACTAATTAATTGCCAGAGTCTCTATTTTATAACAAGTTATTTTTTTTCCATTTTAAGGATAAATTTACCTTAAAAATTTGCACTTTTTGATTGCCCTTTAAATATTTTTGTCTCTTGTTTTTGCTTCGCTTCATCTTTAAAAATCCCGCTTGATCCACGCATTTCGCACGCTCGCGCCAGTCTCCCGTGCATCACACATGGATCAGGCAAATATTAGCGCGTTTCACCGCCCGTGTTTTACTACGCCCTGGGTAGCGTTATCATGTTGACCGTCATGGTTAACTTTCCCTAAAACAGTTGAGATTATCTGTCCTAAATGAAATGGATACAAACTCATATACAAGTCCTAGACTTATATTACACTTTATTACACATAATTCGGCATTGATGCAGATGTCTTTGTCGTTGTGGATGCCATTTTTGAGCTGGGCGTCCGTGCTAAAATGCTGTATAAAAATATATCATAGTTTACCAATAAACCTTGTCCGAAACCCCTATTCTCTCAAATAATTCTCCTTTTAAAACAGACAGAAACATACATAACAACTTAATGATTCAAAATATACTGCGTAATGCTACCTTACAGTAATCCTGCGAATGATCTAAAAGTTATCGAAAAGTTTGATTGGAAACTGTTAACAACATTTGAATTTAAGCCATGCCATAGACTTCAGAAATGCGTGCGTCACAAAATTTTCAAACAATGTATTATGACCCAAACGTAACCCACAATGCACCGCGCATTCATATCTGTTAAAAAACAACGTGACAGAAGCACTTCTGAGGTCTATTGGAAGCGGCTGGATTCTGACTGACCTGTCTGTTAAAAGATCGTTACGATGTCAAATTTTATAACTCCGACAATCTCCTTAATTAAAATATAATCATATATTTAACTGACGAATTTGTGGAAGGATGACAAAGGATATAGATATATGGAATATATTATCCGGGAAACGAAATGGCACTGTCCGAAAAACCGTACTTCATTATATGCCGCGTTGTATCTCGGAATGGATATTAGTACCACCGCTCAATAACTAGTGCATGTGGAATAATTTAAATTATACCGGTACAAAATATTGCCTTGACAACAACACACCGTCCGCGTAAAATTTACGTATATTTGTAAATTACGTTTAACTTTTTATGTTGAACATACATGATGAGTGCTCATCACAATCTACAAAAATTAAAAAGGTTTAATTAAGCTACAGTACGCACAGTTCGGATAATGTCGTGCTTTTCAAACGGTTGTTTCTTCATACAGAGCCACTATAGGTTATGCAGACATTATACAGTCTTAAGAGGAATTTCAGTAGGGGGATCTTTACTATGGGTCGTCTTCATTTTCGGACAGAAAAGGATATCCTCGTCTCCCAAGCCAACTTTGTATTGCCAGAAACAGACTTGCTGGTCAGGAGGTACAGATACACTTACTTTCTCTGTCACCGTCGTCACGTCATCCCAGCTTTCCTTCGTGGTGTTAACATACTTTCCGCCATAACTTGCTTCCAAGGATATCTGGAATTTGGCGAAGTTTGCAGCAAGTTTTCCACTGCTGTAACTGGCGGTTACCTTGAAGTTCCAATCGTGTTCGATACTTGACAGTTTTTCCCTCTTTGCTCCCCTTTGATGGCTGACTTGCTTGGACCAATCAACTGTAACATGGGATGTATTCTCAAAACTCTTTAAAAGCTCCCATTCTCCAAAAGCAGGTCCGTTTGTTGTCGCTAGTCCACCTGGTAGAAATTTTACAACACCCATAGCAAAGGAATTATCAACTCTATCCAAGTTGTTATTCATATTGCCCCAGTAGTAAAGGCCATCTCTGCAGCTGGGATGGAGATGATATTCCACAGCATTCTCGTCTTTATTCATGTTGGTTGTCCTCCTGTAGATACCTCGATCTTTGTAGATGATGTAAAATTTGCCACCCATGGACAAGTAGTGATCTCCACCTTGGCAATTGGGATGGAGTGCATAGACTGTAGAGTCGGCGTCAGTATTCATGTTAGTCACTCTGCGGTAATTGGTACCATTGATGATATAGAAGTAGCCATTGTTAGCCAGGTAGTGATCTCCCCCCTTGCACGAGTAGTGAAGATCAAATACCTCTATGTTACTTACTTTGTTCAAGTTGTCTGATCTCATGTAAACACCAGCATCTGATCGAATGATGTAGTGGTGACCGTAATAATCATCGCCGCATAAGTCGACCCCTGGAGCTTTGGAACGAGGAACAATAGGAAACATACCTGAAATATATAGCAGTCGATTTAGAATTGTCCGATTATTGGAACAAAATGGGTAGCAACATTTTGCTGACTTGCTCTTCCACTGATGAAATCAGGGCTGGCAGAGCAGCGGGGCCAGCTGCCCACTCCTATTTCCTTCGTCAATTCTTGTATACAGCTGATTCAATTAAGGTTGTCCTTCCATTGCCTTTGCAGCAAGTATATTTTCTGTTGAGAGTCTTTTATATGTCTTAGGTATTCTTACAAAGCCAAGTTTATGAGTCTAAATAAGCAATAACTCATCATCCCTTGCGCGCTCAGAATTTAAGGTTTAAGGTTTTGGAAGGACAACGTTAATTGAATTAGCTGTATATTCACCAAAAACAAAAATATTGGAGATTATACCAAAAATAAGGTTAGAAAAGCAAGTGCTTGTTTGTTTGTTTGTAGGTATCTTCTATTGCTATCACTGCATGCTGTTAACGTTACAATGACAGCATTGCCAAAACCAATCCGGTACAACACGTACCACTTGGAAGAGCAGCGCGCCGCACCGACGCGTCGATGAACAAATTGATACGAGTCCATCATTTCATATGTAAACACAGGCCCTGTCCGGTATATGGGTTTTGCGTCGCTCTACAAGCTATCCGATACAATGTAAAAATAATCTTAAACTGTGCACGAATCACGGTGTATCTCGTTCATAGGCATACAGGTCTTAAATTTTTTCGGAGTACAGAACATGTTTCTGAAACTGAAAACGCAACACTCTTGAGTCACAGACTCATCGGAATCACATGTTCGAGTCTCTCGAATGACTATAAACGATTAACAAGACTGAATCATTATGAAACTTCAATAAGGCACTGTCAAGCTTTATCTCTGCCACTCTCAGTCATGCAACCTTAACCTTAATCCTCCCCCGAGCCTGCCAAAATCCAGCCCGGGGGGGGTGAAAAAGAGTTTTTAATGAGGAAGATTCACAATGTTCCTCAGTCTTGTTACTCAGGCAAATGTTCCTCAGGATCCCGAGATCCCACTTTTCTCCAGGTCTGATTGTGTTATCCAAGTGCATGCCTGCGGGGATGGAGATAATACTCAAATATATATATACTGTAAATATTGTGGTATAAGGTATTTGCCATGATTAGGTCAAGGATATATAACATGATTCTTTATAACATATAAAACTGTACGCACTAATCGTGCAACGAAAACAAAAAAAAACACAAAGCAATCACTATTCTTTTAAAAAAGCTGATTGGAATAAATTAAGAAATAGTTATACTTCCGCATATTTCATGGCATATTGCTTTTGAAAACAATGATATAAATAAATGTTGAACAATGTGGAAAGACCTTCTAGTAGAGAGGTTAAGATACCCCGATTCCGGTTTACGGGTACGGGTGATATACACGTACCCGTACCCGTAAATCGGGGAATAACTTGTAACTTAAGAAATCCAAGATACTCCGGCGTGAGAAAACCAATCAGAGAATGGCAACTTTCGCTGTTGAGATTCGCCATAAATTGTTAAAAGCTTTGACCAATATATGTGCATTATTTATTTGGGTAAGATGTTGACAATTTGTACTATTTAAACGCCCCAAAAATAGTAAACAGGAAACACCCGTACCCGTTTGTCGTTTACGTGTAGACCACGGTTTACCGCGGGCAAACGGGTAGAAATTACGGGTAAAATTGCTGACATCAGCAAAAATTGGTAAACAAAATGGCGATACTCGTACCCGTAAACCGGAACTGGGGTATCTTAACCTCTTTATTAGCAGCCGTAGACGATTGACTTTGTATACCAAAGGTCAACGTGACGAATAGAAGGCCAAACACACCGTGGATATCAAAGGATTTAATTCTCAAAAAAGTCGGGAAAATCTCGGGATTGCAATTATTATATAAAACTAAATTCGGTGGTCAAAAGGGATTGCAACTCAGCCCGAAGAACGTACCTAAATGATTTAGCAGATGAATTAAGGCGGAATAATGCAAAACCTTTCTGGAAATATATCAACTCAAAACGTATAAAGGTACCAACGATTTAGTCTCATTGAAATTAGAGGGTAAAGAGATCTCAGACGACACGGAAACATACCTATAATTTTAGTGTGCAGTGATGACCAATTTGTGCAGTGATAAAAGTAAAATGTGCAGTGTTAAAATGTAAAATGTGCAGTGATAAAATTTGCTTTGATAACTGGTTGTTAATCAACACAAGAAAATGAGACAATGAGCAGAAAAACTGAACTAATCGGGCGAAACATTTTGAATGAGAATGATTTAATTGAAATTGAAATGATGACTGCCAAATTATCGAACGTCCGCACTTTTAAATAACATACTTATGGTTCATGAGATGAACAAAGTCTCTCACCAAAGATCTCTTTATGAGTTTGGAAGATGGAGTGAATGATACCTAAGATTTTGTAATTACAGTATAATTTTCAGAATTCTATAGAATGTCCCCGCGCATTGCAGGAGATAACCTTTTACAGTGCGCAGATTACAAAATCGTCTGTGGGTGCATGCCCCTGGAACTCCTCTAGAGGTTTGTAAGCTCGTAAGCCGCCTTTCATTTGCCAAGACGAAAATATTTATTTTCTCCAGTCATGTTATTATGAAACTAAGCTGTCATAGATAGTCGTAACTGCAGGTGCTGTCAAGGCCACACAGATGGGGGCAATTTGTCCTGGGACTCCAGTCAGTTTAGGGGGGCCCAAATAAAGAATTTCAGTGAAATATACATAGATACAACTGTCAACTAGGCTTCCACAATGCAGGATTTGGCCATTTCTGGGACCTCAGATTTCAAAATTTTTCCGGGGATGCCCCCAGACCCCCTAATCATAGTGTTACAACATGGAATCACGAGAGCCCCCAAGTCAAAGTTTGTGCTTGGCCCCCAAATTTCCCTGAGTGCTGTGCAGTGTATGTTCGTTTTGGCGTTTTTGAATATCAATTGTAGCCTGCTTTGTTGTTACACATTATTATAAGGGTGTGTTCAGGAATTTTCAGGGCGTGCTGCTGCTCGGCTAAACTTTGCACAAAAATGTGCAGTGATAAAAAATTCTTAAAATTAGGTATGAATTCAAACGATTTATTTCAAACAGGCTCAAAGAATAATAGGTCTGTGAAACTTGTTTTCATCGCCGGTGACTCAATTCTACAACATGCTCACGGCTGGGACTTGTCTAACGATAAACAACGTGTATCTGTAAAGTCCTTTTCAGGGAGCAAAGCTGAAGATATGCAAGATTACATAAAACCATTACTACGCAAAAAGCCCGACGAGATAATATTGCATGTAGGCAATAACAATATTAAGATAACTCCAAGACGGCAGAAGTGGTTGTTGTGAGTACCTTAAACCTCGGAACACAGATAAAGGATAGTCTACCATGCACTAACGTATGTAAATCGGGCATTATTACCAGGAAAGATAAAGCTAATATCCAGAATAAAATTAAAACTGTAAATGACATTCTTAAACGTGTCTCTGACCAAAACAAATGGACCTATATATTATATGTTGCCTAAATAGAGGTGGCCTACATTTAAATAGAAAGGGTAGTAGCACTCTTACTAGAAATTATAGTAATCACTTTAGTCGTAATTGAAATAAGGCATGGCCAGGTGCTGTAAGGTATGCTCAATTTAACCCATATTTACCTGATTTCAAGGGTTTCAAAATTGGTATGCTTAACATAACCAGTTTGCCTAAGCATATTGACGAAATTAGGATCATATTAGCCGATGAATGTCTCGAAATTCTTGCATTAAATGAGACAAGATTGGATGATACTATTAATAACCAGGATATGTGCATAAGTAATTATGATCTTATCAGGGTCGATCGTTCTAGAACAGGGGGAGGCGTCTGTTTATATGTGAAAACTTCCCTTAACTATTTAGAACGAAAAGATCTGACTAGAGATAATCTCGAAGCTATATGTGTTGAGATTCGCAAACCTTCCACTGCACCATTTATTGTCGGTACTATTTACAGACCTCCAAGTTCTTCTGTTGACTCTTTTGCCACAATTGAGCAATTAGTAAAAACAATAGATGATGAAAATAAGGAATTTTACATACTTGGTGACTTATATGCTAACATGCTTGACACCTCAAACAATGCCACAAAGAATTTAAATTCAATCATGGAATTATATCAATTATCGCAAACGATTATAAACACACCCACCCGTGTGACCATGACCTCATCCTCCCTAATAGACGTTTGTCTTACTCCTACTCCAACTAAGTTAATAACATCACAAGTAATACCGATTGCCATTAGTGATCATTACATGATCTTCGTTGTTCGTAAAATAAATATCCAGCGCAAACAAAACAGTCACAAGAAAGTTGAAATTCGAAATTTAAAATATTTTAATGCTGAGAGTTTCCAAGCTGACCTGCGTGGTCAGAAATGGGAATTATTAGATAACAATCTCTGCGTTGATAAGATGTGGGACACATGGAAAACACTTTTCGTGAAAGTTCTTGATAGGCATGCGCCAATCAGGGAAAAGCGAGTTAAAAGTAAACCAAATGTTCCTTGGCTCACTAGTACAATTAAAAAACAAATCCGCGAACGCGATCGCCTTTGCTATTAGACATAAATCGGAGAATTACTGGAACGCATACAAAACCTCTAGAAATCGCGTAACTGATTCATTGCGAGAAACAAAAGCAGCATATTATAAATGAGAATTTAAGAAAGTCAAACATGATCCCAAACAAGCATGGAAAACTGTGAATAAAATCCTAGACCGTAAACAAGAAAGTAGAGAAATAAATTGTCTTGAAACACAGAGAGGACAAATTTCACATCCAACGGAGTTAGCGGAGTGTTTTAATAATTATTTCACCAATATTGGTCCAGATATTGCCAAAAATATCGACAATGGTGACAGAAATTTCAAGGATTACATCACGACAACAACTAGTAGCTTTAATTTTCAAACAGTGT